CTTTTTATTCAATTGGCCTTTCAAGACTGCATTCAGGGACTCTAGCAAAGTCTTTCTTTTCCCTTCCGAGTTAAGGGAGAATATAGGAATACTTCTTTTTCTCCATGTGCTCTCTCAAAAAAATATAACTTAGAGCCCCAGCCTGTACCTCTTTCCTGTACCTCTCCCACTCCACCAGGGTTAAACATTGCTCTGCACTTGGTATGTTTCATTTCTATGCATGTTTTTATACTTTTTCTACATCCATGTAAATCCATAAACAATATATTTGTTTTAGGTGTTCCAAAAATTTACTAAAATGGTAACACGTTTCCTGTATCCTTCTGCCAACTTTTCTACTCAATATTGTGTTGTGAGATTTATCCATGTTGTTACAAGTAGATCTAACTTATCTTAATTATTCTATAGAGTTCATAAACCACCTCCAATACATCCATTGCTAATCCATTCCCTACTGTGAGATCAGTTTTCGTTTTTCTCTGTTAAACATTGCGCACATGTGTGGGCATTTTCCTAGGGTTGATATCTAGGACAGAACTACCATATCATAGGGTGTGAGCACCTTAAACTTCATGAGGGATTGCCCCCTCCCCCTCCCAGGTCAAAGTGATTGCATAGTCTGGGGATTTTTGATGCACATATTTGTAAGAAAAAGAACACTCCTTCAGGGGTCCTGGGTGAAAATGCCTGCCATTTTTCTGAACGCAGGAAGCTCTTGAGTGCCTCACATGCCTATTAAAAGCATCAGGGTTCCAATGACATATAAAAGCAGGGCTCCTAGGGTGCTGGGCTGATTGAGAGAAAATGAGAGCATTTGACATTTACTGTAGCAATTCCCTGCTCCTTATTTATTAGTGCCGTTTAGTTAGGGCTATCAAAGTGTTGCTGCAAACACTAATTAGCTAAACACTAGGCTCCCCAGAGAAAGAGAGAGACAGAGATAGGTGGATTGCTTGGTAGGCTGATTTTAGGGACACATAATCTGAGGCAAAGAGAAGTCAAAGAGAGAACAGAAATTTAAGAGCAAACTTGGGTGCACAGAGGGCAAGTGCTCCTCAGCCTAGAGGGAGGTCTAAGACAGGGATCTTAAAGGAGAGTTGGGGCTTCAATAGGTGGAGGAGAGAACGATAAGGCCATTCCAAGGAGTAAGAATGGTGAGAGGCAAGAATAAAGCATGTGCAGTCTCCTTCCAGCTAGAGGGGCAGGGGAGTTTCTGGGAACTTGGATTGGGGGTAAAATGGGGCCTGGAAGTCACATAAGGACTTTTCATTCTGTACAGCAGGAAAAGGAGCAAGAGGGAGAGAGAAGGATGAAGAGTGAGGGTGAGAGAGAGGTGGGATGTGAGGAAAGCGGAAAAGGAGAAGTCAGTGAAAAGGAGTGAGGTTGGGGGGGTGGGAAGGGAGGAGAAGGCGGAAGGGGACGTAAGGACACCCTCTGGGCCTAGGCAGGCTGGTTGGTCCCGAATCCTCCCCCCACCAGATTCCCCACGCTTCCGCCTTTTTTCAGACATCCGGCTGCCATTGTATTGGCCCCTAGTCGCTGAGTACCTGCAATGCACCACAGTGGGCCCAGAACCGGGCGACCTGTTGATGTAGTCCCTGACGGTTCTCACAAACTGGATCAGGGACTGGGTGGTCTCCGGGACTCCATGGTCTGGCCACACCGTGTAGTGAAAGTGGCGGATGAGTCTGTGTGCATCTAGCTGTTCCTCCTGTAAGAGCAGAGAGGCCAATGAGAGGAGTGACCCACGGCAAACCTTCACATGTGACAAGTGTGCGACAGGACAGGATCCAGCAAAAATGAGATTCCCAGGGGCCCTTTGTCTTTCCAAGCTGGGTTACTAAAGCAAGTCAAACTAACATACGCTGCATATCCGAAACTCTCGGATGGTCCACTCGGGCAGCACGGACTCCGAGACCATCTGCAGGATCATGTCTCCATAGTAGAGGGAATCCTGGTCCGCTGGCCAGTAATGGTCACACTTTACCTAGAGGAAGACAGACAGAAAAAAAGTGAGTCCGGAAATGTGACTCCTCCATGAACCTGAACTTTTCCTCCTCGACATACCTTCCTGAGTTGGAGCCCAGGACCAGCTGCTAAAGCAATTTGACCATCTGCTTTGCATTAACCTGCTCACGGCCAGTGCTGACGCTGGGCTGCTGCTGTTAGTGCAGGAGGAACACTGCACAACCTCGGCATTCATCTGCTTTTCAGGCAGTTTCATGGTTGTGGTTTTCTTTTTTGTTGTTATTGTTGATTTCCTTAGCATTTCAGTTCCACTAGCAGATAAACCACATCTTACAATGGCTCTTTCTGAAGAAAGATCTAACTGGGCAGAGGAAGGCACTGTCTTCTAGGCCCGGGTTTGTTTATCTTTTGATATCACTGTCCTAAGCTGGACCCCCTGCTTTGGGCCAAATGATCTTTGAAAAATCAGAACATTTCGCTAAGCTTGTATTTACATGTAGAAAAATAGGAGAAAGGGGATTATGAACATGTATTTATGGACCACAGATACTGGGCACTTACATGTAACCTCTCTTTTAACTATCCAAGTAACCATCTAAAGTAGAGGATGATAAGTGCATTATAAGAGGTTTGCTTAATTTGTCCAATTAACTGTTTTACTTTGTTTCTGCAGACATAGCCCAAAGCTCACTTCTTTTGTAAAAGTACGGGCAGAGCCAGTGACTCTAGCAAGGTATCTATCTCCTCTCAGCATACACTGAAGGATGGAGCTGACGAATGGCCAGTTAAGCTTTTTGTGCCATGGACACTTCTGATAATCCCAGTCCTCAAATGGAAACACCTTTGGCTGAAACTTCAGACCCAGAATCCAAATCGGGCATCCCCTATTAGATCCTTTTATATCTGAGTGGCTTAATTCACTAACGATGTTCTTACACGCTCCCTACTTGGCTTCCGTGGGCTTAGCTTTTAATGGTGGGGAAGAATTCCCTCAGAGTGTCGGAAAACACAGTTCAGAAGTCAGGAAGACTGTTTACTCACTCGGCCCTTCTCGACACACTGGGTCACCATGACGATGTTGTGAACATTCTGTTCCCACGCCATTTTCCAGAAATCATCCTTCGTGCCAGGAAGAGGCCCCTGAGTAGCAATGTATTCTCTTCTGAAGCTGTTGCCCTGCGATGAATTTACAATATGGAGAGTCAGAAACAATGGGCCTCTTCAGAACTATAAACAAAGGATTAGTGCTGCAGAGTAGATGATATGTAGGTCTTTGCCAGGCCCCTGACTTGAGAAAAAGATATGAACACAAGTGTCAAGGCTTGGGAGCTGGAAGGACAAAGGCCGGAACACTGAACTATTAAGAGCCACATTCCCTTTTATTTGGCTACGTCTATTCTAAAAGGCAATGGGGGACTCAGGTGATCATTTAGAAAACACTTCACCTGCCATTGTGTGTGTGTGTGTGTGTGTGTGTGTGTGTGTGTGTGTGTGTGTGTGTGTAGACTGTCTGAGGGACTGACGTTGAACAGGCTCTTTCCCTATTTAACTTAGAAGAATTTTGTCAGTTTGGATGATTGACAGAATGTTAATAAGAGATGTCATGCAAGGGAAACTTAAGCAAAGAGAAACCACTGTTTATTGAGCACCTACCATATAAGTCCTGCCATGGGTCAGGACTTTCACAGATCTTATTTAATCTTAGCCACAACTCTGTGAGCTAGGATATTGTCACCCACTCATTCTGTATTCCAGCACACAGAATTCCTTGCAGATCCACGTCAAAGCTCTTTCTCTCCTTGCCTCTCCTCAGGGCTTGTACATTATGTCACCTCTGTCACTCCCACGCCCCACCCACCCAAACACTGACTCTCATCTGGGTATTCCTTATTTATCCTCCAAGGCTCAGCATGTGGCCAGCTCTGCTGAGCTTTCCTTTATTTTTCTCTCTGCTGGGTGATGTTCTCCTCCTAGAAACTCCTTTGGCAACCTCTAGCTACTTGCTACTCAGAGAGTGGTCTTCAGACTAGCCGCATGGGGCTCACCTAAGAGCGTGTTAGAAATGCAGAATCCCAGGTGCCACCCCAGCCCTGCTGTATCAGAACCTGCGTTTTAACAAGACCCCCAGGTGATGTGGATGTATGTTACTGTTGGGAACACTGCTCTAGCCTGTTTCTCATGGCATTGTCTTGTCACTTCCTGATGCCCCAACTCTGCTGAGAGTTCCTTGAGGGTCAGGGTTCTGTCTTACCTTATCCTTGTATATAGCTCAGTGTTTGACTTATAGCTAGCACTTAAGTGTTTATTGAATGAATGGAACAAGTGCTATTTGAGATAAATATTATTTATCTTCATTGTTTGGAAGAGAAATGGAGGCCCAAAGAGGTGACATAACTTGCCCAGGGTCATAGAGTCAGCAAGAGGCAGAGATGGGATTGAAACCTAGATCTGTCTGGCCTTAAAGCTTTCTCCACTGCAGCATGCTGTAGGAAGTTGGCATGATGGTAGCCAGAATCTGAGCCCAAAGGTTTGACACAACCTTTGAGTTGTGTCTGTGGTTTTTCAAAAATCCAAATAACTTTGAACCAGTTTCCCTACCTAGGCAGCCTTAGCAGGGGAGATCCAGCTTCTTTAGAGAGCACTAATCTTGGCTAAGGGCTGCAGAGAGAAAACAACCTGTGAAAAGGTATCCTGGGCTAATTATTGGGTTGTCGGAAAAGTCATGACTCATTTTTGCAATGAAAAACACAGAAAAATACGTCATGACTTTTCCAACAACCCAATATAATCTCTTGTGACTATAGCCACTGAAAAATGGGCCTTAGCAGTGATCAAAGTTGGCACCCCATGTTTTATGGCAATCAGACATGGTTTTCTTAAGCCTGTATGTTTCTGGACCTGAGAACAGATAGCATCCAGGAAGAGAGGTATCTCCAGTGTGGCTACCCATCAGAGCTTATCCGGGACCCACGGCCTAGTGGTTCACTTACAGGGATGTAGCTGGCATTGATGTAGTCGGAGCAGGGGTCATCATCTACATTGGACAGCTTCACTCGAGAGGCATCATCTGAAAGGGCATTTTGAGAGAGATTTGTCACTGAGTCGTGGGGTGATTTTTCTACGGTTTATGGAATGCTTGGTATTTGATGTGCATTAGCTCTGATCTCCACAAGAGTCCCATCAGGGAGGTATTCTCATCTCCATTTGGCAGATGAGGCTCAGACAGGATAACTGACTTGCCCCAGGTTGCAGAGGTGGCCCATAAACACACACACAAACAACCAAATGTGCGTTGAAGCCCCCTCTGTGCTTTCTTTGTATCACTGTGACATTTGCCCAAGGAGTGGCCAACTCCCTCTCACTGCTGGAACGAGTACAGTCCAGAAAAACCACCTTCTATTGCTTTATATAGTAGGGTAAGGATAATAACTGTAACTGGAGGCTGTAAAGTAAACCTAGGTTGGCCGTTGCTGTTAACCCTATTACTGCTCTGAGCCCTCCAAAGAGAAGCAGTAGGACCACTTGGTGACATGCCGACAGTACAAGGGGCCTCGCAGAACCAGAACTGAAGCTGGCTGCTGCGCATGTGGAGGGAAGTACAATAACATACAAGCCATTCCTTTTCAAAGGCATTCGGATCCTCAGATCTTCTAAATCCAGCTATACCATATTTTTTTAGCCCCATTTTATTCCTAGAAAAGAGAAGAAATAGCTAGAGCAATACATTATTACAAATTTCAACACAAAACTCACAGGGCAATATATTGTTGTATCGATTTTTCCCTCTATTCTCCGGCAAGAGTGCAATATCACATGATTGGTTTCGACCCACGTCTTTTAAGTCCTATAAGTTTGCAAGTGGAGAAAATAAAATAGGATAAGGCAAATCATACAATCCTTGAGCTACAAAATACTATGAGAATATGTACACTAGCTACTGTCTATGGAATGCCTAGTATTCGAAGTGCATTAACTCTGATCCCCACCGCAGCCCCACAGGAGGTATTTTTAATCTCTATTTTACAGATAAAGCTCAGACAGGATAACTAACTTGCCCCAGATCACATGGGTTGCAAAGCAGGGAATTAAATCCAAAGCCTGGGCACTTTTCACCAAAGCACATTGTCTCCCAATCAAGCAAATGGCCAGGGTAAGTAACTGACAATGCTAGGTTTGCATTTGCAATTTGCTAATTCTTTCTTATCATCTGATTCAGGTAGCACTTTGTTTGCTGTGCTAGCCTAGGGATCGAACTGGCCTGTGAGATTAGTTGGTATGTTATGCAGAGAAGAGATTGGGGCATCAAAGAGTGCTCAGCTGAGATCCTAAGTGTTATCCTAACTCCTGAGCCCAATTGGCCTGCTCAGGACTCGGGTGCAAAAGCATCATCGCATCTGAGCTGTACCTCATACTCCTTGGATAGAAGGTAGTTGGAGTCAGCCTGCAGCTTCATGAAGTGTCCTTCAAACTGAATTATTTTTATAGGGCTATAGTTAAAATAGAACAGAAAGAAAAGAAAATTACTGAAGGGAAAATGCCATTAACCAGATAAGAGTTATATTTAAAAAACAGATAATAGAGTAATCAATGAGTTTTCTCTCTTACCAAGAAGTTTTCCGGTTACTGGGAAGGGAAGCCAAAAGAAGAACAAAGACCTTGTTAGAGAACCTCACACAATACAATCAACTCATCTTTCAATAAACTGTGTGACAGAAGGTGTGGTGCTCACCCTTTCTGGCCCAGGTTCAAGTGAACAGATAGTGGTCGATCCCGGCGGATGCTCAGGTGGGCAGAGGGCCTTTCTCGACCATGGCTGCAACATAAGGGAGAGGATTATATCCTGATTATGAAACTCGACTTCAACAAATTTTTCCACTTAGGGTAAGGCTGTGCATGTTTGTGCAAATATGGATTTTTCAGTATTCATGTAGATTTTCACTCAGCCAGCATCTCTTTGAGGGAGGGAAGGAGAGGAAAAACACGAGGAAGAAATAGATTTTTCCCACTCAGAAACGGATCTCCGCAACAGCTGAAGATTCGTCTTCTGGTTTTTGGCGACGGGTCACAATCACTTCCCACACTCTCAATAAAACTTTCCTTAAAAACAGTCCCAGTAAACCTTAGATGCAAGACATGACTGCAAAAGAGAGGACAATGTGCCAAATAAAAGAAATTCCCTAAGAGAAGAGAGTGTGGCATGGGACCACATGTTATTTGGTTCATTTTGGTCTCTTCTTAAATTAGCATGGCAGATATGAGCCACAAAATGGTGATGTCAACCACACTTCTCAGCATATTTCAGAAAAGTATTTGGGCACACAATTTTCAGACATCTCTGACTTCATGAGGAGACTGAACCACACACACACACACACACACACAAATTTTTTTCCCTGTGCAAAAAGAGTTCTTTCACATTCAAATGAAGCTACACATGGCCCCTCAGTTATTGGCAAAATTCATCAATGGTCTGCTGAGAGGCTGAAAAACATGAGTCATGGTTTTAGGGTTTGCTTTTGTTTCTCTTGAGAAACAAAGGCAATTTAACCTAGAGAAATTAAATTATTTTCCCTTCTTATTGTTCAGGTTCAAGGGCATTTCCAGTGGCATCTTTCAAGTTGTGGGCCCAATCACCCAAGGATTGTTTGTACTCACCTCGCTTTCTGTCTGCAGATGAATAAGGCAACGACAGCCACCAGCATGCCAATTAAGAACAGACCAGCACTCACACCTTCAATAACTCCGAACAGAGGCTCTACAATAATCCAGATGGAGACAACAAACCCAGGTGGGAACATTAGTGCTAAAGAATCAGTAAGGGAGCTACTGAAGCCCTACGTCCCTAGGAACATCATAACAGAAGGATTCACACACTAAGGCATTTATTATCTGAAGGCTGGGAGTATGCAGCTGAGAAGATGAAATGCTGACTACTACCCTGGAACGGCAGGTCAGTCATTATACATGTGAACTTAATGGTGTTTAGCATTTAAAGGATTTTGGACTTTTGTGTACTTGTGTGTAAAGCTTGGGGCACCTGAGATAAAGGCCAGCAGTTTGCCACCAAAATAAAACTGCTGTTTCATGTGTATGAAACAAGTTATAGCATCGGGGACTTTGGCACATCCAGTGAATTGCTGAGAGTTATTTTAACAAAACCTCATTTTTATTTTCTGGTATGATGCTGTCACTGAGAGTTTATGAACAGGTAAGGGTAGCCCAATTTTTGAACAGTTTTATTGAAATAGAATTCACATACCATACAATGCACCTATTTAAACTGTATAATTCAATGATTTTTAGTATAGTCACAGAGTTTTGCAAACATGATCACATTCATTTTATAACATTTCATCATTGCCCCTCCCCCCGCCTCCACTGCAAAGAAACTCCATGCCCCTTAGCCATCATTCTCTGTTCTTCCCTCTCCCTAACCCCTGGCAACCACTAATCTGCTTTCTGTCTTCATAGAGACACCTATTCTGGACATTTCACATAAACTGAATCATAGGTATGTGGTCTTCTGTGATTGGTTTATTTCAGATAACAAAATGTTTTGAAGGTTCATCCATATTGTAGCATTAATTGGCGTTTCATGCCTTTTTATGGCTCAATAATATTCCATTGTATGGATATGTCAATTTTGTTTATCTAATCATCCATTGATGGATATTTGGGTTACTTCTATTTTTTTTGTTTATTATGAATAATACTGCCATGAACATCTGTTTACAAGTTTCTGTGTGGATGTATGTTTTCATTTGTCTTGGGTATATATTTAGGAGTGGAATTGTTGGGTTAGACGATAACCCAAAGTTTATCATTTTGATGAACTGCAGAACTGTTTTTCCAAAGTAGCAACACCATTTTAGTTTCATAAGCAATGTATATGGGTTCCAATTTCTCCATACCCTTGCTAACACTTGTCCTTTTTTTAAAAAAGATTTTTATTAAACTATAGCTAACATACAACATTATATCAGTTTCAGGTGAACACCACAGTTATTCAACATTTATATACCTAAAGAAGTGATCACCTTAAGTCCAGCAACCATCTAACACTGTACCACGCTACCACAATATTATTGACTATATTCTACAAGCTGTATGTTACATCCCCATGACTTATTTCTTTTATACCTGGAAATTTGAACCTCTTATTCCCCTTCACCTTTTCCTCCCTTTTTAAATTTTTCAATTACAACTGACATTCAATATTATTTTATATTAATTTTAGGTATATAGCATAGTAGTTATTTGTATAATTTAAGAAGTGATCCCCACAATTAGTACCCATCTGGCATTATACATGGTTATCATCATATTACTGACTATATTCCTTATGCTTTACATCCCCTTGACTATTTTGGAACTGCCAATTTGTACTTCTTAATGCCTTCACCTTTTTCACCCTGTCCCCCAACCCCCCTCCCATCTATCACCCCAACAAATCAAGTATACATCTGACACCATACATAGTTATTACAATATTATTGACCATATTCCTTATGCTTTACCCTACATCCCCATAACTGCTTTGTAACTACCAATTTGTACTTAATCCATTTCCCCTTTTTCACCCATTCCCAACGCCTCTCCTGTCTGGCAACCATCAAAATGTTCTTTGTATCTACGAATTTGTTTCTGTTTTGTTTGTTTAGCTTGTCCTTCAGATTCCACATATAAGTGAAATCGCATTGCATCTGTCTTTCTCTGTCTGTCATACTTCACTCAGCACAACACCTTCCAGGTCCATCCATGTTGCTGCAGATGGTGAGAACCCATTCCCTTCCATGGCCAAGAAATATTCCATTGTATATATATCACCTCTTCTTTATCCATTCTTCCATGATGGACACCCAGGCTGCTTCTACATCTTGGTCATTGTAAACAATACTACAATGAACATATGGATGCACACAGCCCCTCAAAGCAGCATTTTGGGTTTCTTCAAATAAATACCCAGAAGTTGGATTACTGGGTCCTTCTTTGTCTCTTATTATAGCCTTTGTTTTAAAGTTTATTGGGCCGGCTGAGTGGCATGTTGGTTAAGAACTGGCTTGGGATGCCAGAGGGTCCCGGTTCGGATGCCACATATGAAGGCCAGTGACACTGCCCTC